TTCTTGTTATATATTAATTACCTTTATAAATAAATATAATATATGATAAGTATATAAGCGCCTAAGAGCTTTCTGGAGTTAGAAGGCTGTGTGACACGTGTAGAGTCCTATTCTGCAGATACGTCTTCCCTTGGTATCGATGGGGAGGGGGTGGTTTCAGGACCTCCGTGCCCACCCCAGACCCAAATCTGAAGATGCTCAAGTCCCTTTTTACTTAAAATAAATGTAACCTGCGCACACCCTCTAGAGTATGTAATACCAAATGCAATAGGAATGCCACGTGAATTGTTATTATACCGTAGTGCTTCGGGAATAATGAAAAGGGGGAAAAAGTCTGCCCAGTAGCCATCATTATAGGGCTAATACGTAGTGCACGTCAGCAGCAATGTAACCTTGTCTTTCTTTCAACCCTTAGATTGCTTTTGGTTAATGACCCGAAAGAGAAATACATGGTTACTACATGTGCAGGGTATTTAAAACATAAGCGCATGTAGAAAATATAATGATAAATGGAGAAAATATGATTTCATTCTCTCTCACACACTTTATGTTAACACTCACCAACCCCCCGGTTCTTCTCTCTTGATAACATTTGTATGATGGTGCTGGGAATGATGATTCCTGCATAGGTACTTTATGGTGCATACAGCGAGGAAGGGACGTGATAGATGTGTGGCACTGTGGGTCAGTGATGAGACATCAGGCTAAGTTGAACCTCCTGACAGGGCATCCGAGGGATCAGAGCCAGCTTCTGACTGCAGAGGTGACACTTTGGGGGGGTTTCTGTAATACTCTCTGAAAGCGTGGAGGCTGAGCTCTGAGGACCTTCAGGCACTAAAGGTCACAGGAAGCTCTTCTTTGCAACGTGAGACAAATCTTTCCGTGATTGTGGGGTTAAAGGGGAGCGGGAACCCCACAGAACATCACAGGTTCGGTAGGCGCAATTGTACAGTGATAACAAGTAGAGCTTACAGTAAAGTCGTAGAGAGCATGAGCGTTAAAAGATGGAGTCAAGTAATGGAGTCCGACGCAACTCATGGTAGCATCGCTCTCCTCAGCCCCGCTCGATGGTCCTCGTGGAGGGGACTTAGCCGCCAAAGTAGAAGCAGCTGCTTTGTCCTCCTCAGCCACCCCCCCACCCCCGAGAACCAGGGAGCCTCATTATTTATTGCTAACCACGCATCATATCACTTGAGGGGGATCTGATTACAGAGTCATACATCACAGAAAGGGGCAATACAATTCATCCTTGAACAAGTTTGATCACCCTGGTGTCTCATATACTAAAACAGACAATTACTATTCTGGGAGGCATGCAAGCCCCCTGATAGCAGACAATAACCTACATCATGGGGAGGGGTAGCAACATGGGCAATACAATCAAGAGGAGGGGGATGACCTAGGGGTGTGCCCATAGGAATGGGAAGGTCTAGGGTTACACATGTGACAAGATGGGTGGACTCTAGATTCATAATGGCTACCTAACCTTGGTCATCCTTGGGCGGGTTTGACCTCTCTGGTATCTTCAAGTAAACAGACAACTACTATCCTTATCAGAAGGGAGTGGGCCTTGTTTAGGGTGAGTCAGACTATACAGTCTGGCCGCTCTAGATGGCTGATGTTAAGGAGAATAACCTCTGACTTACTTGCACTGACCGCCTAGTGTACAGTCATTCTCAAGCAGCTAAGTCTGGTACATATTATTGGGGAGACAGCTTAAGAGAAAGCCTTCTGTTCCCCACAAGTGGTTGTAGGCACATTGTCATCACTAGGCAGATCCAAAGACCATGCTCCACCAGAGGATCATACTCGAGGATCCTATCATTTAACACAGTGGTTCTCAACCTTCCTCATGCCGCGACCCTTTAATACAGTTCCTCATGTTGTGGTGACCCCCCAGCCATAAAATTACTTTTGTTGTTACTTCAGAACTGTAATTTTGCTACTGTTATGAATCGGGCTACCCCTGTGAAAGGGTCGTTTGACCACCAAAGGGGTTCACAGATTGAGAACTGCTGCTTTAACATTTATGCCTGTTGAAAAACTGCCGTACATCGTTTCTATGTCCGAGTTGATTTGTCAGCTTCTCTGGTAGAGGAATTCGGCAGCTCTTCAAGTGGCTAGGTCTTCTCTGTGCTCTTCTGTGTATCCCTCGATATGGTCCTTAATCATGGCAGAGAAGCCTTTTTTACCAACTTCCCTGGTATCCCTCAAGGTAACCCTAACTTCTGCATCCATAGTGAGGAGGCCCCTGAAGTCTCACTGATTTGTTAGACGTCTTCCAACATGCATTGGTTGTCCCAGGCTCCTACAACCTCTGACATAAGCACCATTGTATCTGAACTCCTGAAGCTGTTCCCTAAGTCCATGATGCCTGCATCCTGTTGAAGGTCACCTTCATGCATTTGATGCTGCCTTGATCGGGTGGCTCCTCAGTGATACAGTGGTGGGAGGCAGGGGTGTCCCTGGGTCAGCAGAGACGTTGGGGATGGTTGAGAACGCTGTCATAAGGAGGACCTCGGGTGGTCGCTCCTTCTCTCAGAGGGGTTTCCTCGCTTCAGGAGTGAAGTACCGGTGGAACCATTCAGTGACCACAGTGCTCATCACCCAGGCGTTCTTGTTGTGTTACCAGATACTGGACAGGCAATTTTTGGTTCTGATCCTGTGGGTCCAGAGATTGTTTACTTGGTAGATGAGGCTTACCTTGATCATATGACCAATTGCATTGCCACACAGAGCTAGAGTAAGGGAATCTTCCCAGTCCTTGGACCCTGGAGCCTGCTTGGCAGTCATATGGATGTAGGTACGATTGCATGTCTTGCAGAATAAACCCATTTTTCACTGTTGAAGACTTGCTTTGGATGATAACCTTTCTCTTCCATGAGTTTCTTAAACACTTCTGGGAACACTGGTGCTTCCTAAGCCCCAGCGGATGCGGATTCTCTTACGGGCTTTAAATTTTTGAGGCGCTAGCACTTTAAATTAAGAGAAAGACAAGGCCTTCTACTCCTGTAAACAGGTACAGTCTCAGAATCCCGCCAGGGCAGTTCTACCTATAGGGTTGCTGTGAGCTGGCAGCGACTTGATGGCAGTGAGCTGTTGCTTGGTTGGTTTAGCGCTTTACATAACTAGCAAGTTATCCCTTAAATTCCTTCCTCTCCCTCTCTTCAACCCTCTCCACAGTGCTCATAAGGGCTAAGTACTTTCTCATGCACAACTTTGCCATCAACAGACAGGGATATGCTGCTGTGACTTGCCGTCTACCCACACACCCAGTGCTTTCTTAGTCTTTGCAAGCACTTCAGCACGCACGAGAAAGACTGCTTTTTGATATTGGAAGGGCAGCACCAGCGTGTTCATGAACTTCAGCCTTACTGCGTGACTGCTCTGTGCGTTCTTGCTGCCCTCACAGACCACTCCAGCAAGCAGTAGGGCATGTTTCAAAACATGTAAGGTTTCTATTTTCTCATTGAGAGATAGCCCTGTACACCCCCTCTTAGCCTTTAAGGGATGGCGTTGACCACTTCTTTGCGTTCCGTGTTGTTAAGCGCTGCCCAGTTAGTTCCAATTCATAGAGACCCCAGCTCCACCACTGGGTCCGGCACCATCCTCGTCATTGTTCTCAGTGGTTGAAGCCACGGTGTCCATCTATTTTGTCCAGGGTCTTCCCTCTCTTTGCCCCTCTACTTTACCAAGCCTGATGTCCTGATTCCATGTCCGAAGTGTGTGAGATGATGTCTCCCCAACCTTGCCTCTAAAGAGCATTGCTTTTTCGGAGTCATACTGTGCCCCCCCCCCCCAGAGAAATAAAGGGTGCACACAGCACAAGCAGAGCAGGAATGAGGTGCGAGGCACCAGTGCTCGAACACCGCGGGCTGGAGAGGGACTGGAGGTGTGTGACTTGCTGGAGGCTACGGTACCTGAGCATCACGTCACTCCTGAACATTCTGTGTAGTGCTCCTCGTGTGCACACTCAAGGTTTGCTTTTCAGGACTTTCTGTTTTTCCCCCTTCTGAATATTTCTGATCTGCACTTGGTAGAATCTGCAGATGCCAAACCCGTGGATACAGATGACCCATCACTTAGAAAAGTTTCAGTTTCTGATGACAAGCAGAGCTCCGACAGGGTTTTTCACTGAGGTGTGCTGAAAGAGTCGGTTAGTGGTGTGCTCAAAATGGGCTAACACCAAGCTTTCCTGGGCAGATGCTTGCGTAATTCCTCATGTTCCGTTTAGAAGTCCAGCAGCCTGCGCTTTGGGTTTTTGTCGCAGTGGGTTTCATTTTAGGGGACTGGTTGTCTTTTATTCGTTTCTTGCCAAGCAAATATGTAGACCTTCCCGCAGACACCATGACCACTCATCTAGTTTCCATGTGAAGAAATGAGTTGCTGTGAAAAGATACAAGGGTCAATTGATAAAAGAAGGTGTTCTTATTAGATAATAATCTTGGTCTGGATTTAACCCCCTTTAAAAACAGGACATTAGGCTAAATTTCTTTGTCTTTTTGATAGGCCATCCACCTGGCCCAGGCAAGCTTCCAGATTGAAGCCTTCGGCTCCAAATTCATTCTTGACCTCACACTGAACAAGTAAGTCCGTAGTCGTAGCCCTGGTAAGAAATAAGTGTACTGATGTCTTGTGTATAGTATTGTTTAGTCCAAATAATTGTCATCGAAGCAATTGATATTTTCCCACTGGTTTTATGTCGTACGCGTTTAAAGAAAATGTAGTCTGCATGGAATGAATTCCCTTTCCCCATCTTTTCCTGCAAGGGAAGACATCCAACCTTTACCATGTTAAATATCTCACACAAAAAGGATTCCCCGTAGAATACTTCTACAGTATGATTTTAAATGAAATAAACATTTGACTAATGGTAGTTAATTAAATGTTAACTATAGTAAGTGTTACTCTATGAAAAGTATTATAAATGATTGATTCAAGTATAATTTGACCCGAGTCTAGAAGCTTTTTCTATTGTACTATTTGTTATGAAATTCACATGACTTAAATCTAGGAAGAACAAAGACAGATGCAAATACCCACTCCCAAAGAAATTATAGTCCTGAAGAGAATTTTCCGATTTTCTCAGAGCTGAACGTATGTTTGTCTTTGAACTTCACTTCCAAGTTGAAACCAGTTGTACAAACGCCTTCGTACAACATGGGAACAAGAGCTATCAGTTTAATACGAACAAAACTCGGTGCCATCAAGTCGTTGTGACTCACAGCCATCCTGCAGGGCAGGGTTGCCGGTCCTCACCAAAACAGGCGGTCATGGTTTCCTCCAGTGGAGTGGCAGATGGGCTCGAACTGCCGACCTTTTTGCTAGCCGCCAAGTGCCTTAACCCCTGCACCATCAGAGCTCCTTTGCTTTAACCTGGGCTCTTCCAGTACAGCTGGTGGCGACAGAGATTTCCTCTCAGGTTTGAACCCTGGTTGTGTAGGGGATTGGCTGCTCACCACAAGGTCAGCAAGGCAAAAGTACCAGGAGCTCCGAGGGAGGAACTCTTTTTACGCCATACAGTGTCCCCGTGTCCGAAACCCACAGGGCCAGTTCTACGCTGTCCCACAGGGCGAACTCAGAGGAGGAGTCGACTCACTGGCAGTGAGGTTGGTTTCGTTTTGGTTACAGTGTTTAGATGTAAAAACTCGAGCCCATCATTCTCGTGATCAGGGCCGCATCTCTGCAGGAACAGTACCATTTAATGCTCTTGGACACAATGCTGTAGCTCCACTACCTGAGACATGGCGAAGAAATGTAAAGAAGAGCGATGACATTTCTTGTCTGCCACGTTTTGTGTGTGTGGCAGAAAAAACAACAACGCAGAGTCAGCACAGGGCCTCCTTACCGGTACTGCAGCTTTAAGCCAGGATGACTCAGCAGAACTTCGAGTTTCTTGTGTTCAAGGTATTGCAGGCTTTCCTTTTTCGGTCTGCTGAGCACTGGTTGGGTTCCTTTTCCACCACGCTGTGTCAGCAGCAGGCCTGCCTCAAAGATTTGTCTGGCCAGATCTTCAAGTCTGTGGAGTAGCAGGATCTGGCTAATTTTAGTTGTTCCCTTACCTCTTCTGCAGCAGCCAGAGACTGCCGGTCCAGACCGTAGCTCCCTGATGACCCCCGGCCCTGCTGAGTGTTTTGCGGCTCTGAAACATCACAGCTGCAACAAAGCCCCTCACTGAATGAGCAGATGGCAGAGAAAGGGTGACACGGGTGTCTAGACCACATGGCACAGAAAAACACATCAGGACATTGTTGCCCACGAACACAGCCCACGAAAGCATCAAGTCGAATGCCTACTGTTAGCAGTCTCTGCCTGGAGGAGCACAGAGTCCAGTGGGGGGAGGTTGAGAGGAAGAGAGTGAAAACTGTGTTGTGAGAGGTTCACCAGGAGTGCCCCGGCAGTACCGGAGACAGAGCCCCGCAGGCTGGAGGAGGTGCTATTTGAGCCCAGTTTTGGAGATAAGGTGCTATCAGAAGCAAACTGTTGAGTATGGGAGGCAGGGGGAGACCATAGAGAAGGGCATTCCGGCCTTGGCGCTGTCTGGCCTCAGGAGGCAGGGTCGTGTGGTGGTGGCTGTGTGTGCAGGGAGCACAGGCCCTTCCCTGAGCTCTCCTCTGCAGGCTAAGAGTGAGGCAGAGGGAGACGAGGACACAGGGGTCATCGGCCTCATCATGGATCCGGCATTCCAGGTTCATGGGCATGGCTGTTATCCCTGAGGCCGTCAAGTCGGAAGAAACATCGATCCTGTACTGATGAACTGCTAGGAGGGATGGAGGAGGAGAAATGCTGTCAAGACATCTTTGGCTGGTGAACATCAGTACGATTGAGTAGACAGAGGTGACAAGGCCGAGACAAGAGTGAGGCTGACCGAGGTGTCTTGATTGGGCAGTTGGGTAGAAATGTCAATTTCCAATCGAAACGGGTTGCACCAGGGAATGGAAGATTAATTGAGGAAGAGGGAGAAGAGGAAGGTTGTGAATTCAGAGGAGACATAATGGATTTGAGGGTCTCTGGGACAGACATGATGCCATGTCTGGGAAGGAGCTGAATCTACCTGTCTGGGCTCAGGGGAGGAGAGAAGGCTTGAGATAATAGACCCCAGAGCCAACGCATGACATTGGGAGGCTGGGGTCCCCCACTGAGACCCCAAGTGCTGAGGCCCTTGTGAAATATCCAAGAAGGACAGAGGTTGGGCTTGCCGGAGTGAACAGGGCCAGGGAGATGGTTGCTGATGTGGAAATGAGGTTAGAGAAGAAGCAGGGACAGACGTGTGAGGCTACTGTTGTCCATGGTGAGGGGTTTGAATGGGCTTTAAGCATGGAAGTGGTACAATCAAGTTCATATATTATTTGTCGCAAAGTGTCCTACTCCTGTCCCCAGAAGGACAAAGTGCCCTACTCCTGTCCCCAGGTCACATTCTTATCAGAATGTTCTACTTAAATTTGTTTTATTTAGTTTTCCCTGTAGATCAATCACTCCCCTAAGTTATAGAAGGTTTAAAAATGATGACTAGATCAATAACTCTTAATGTGTATCAATATTTGGAAATCTCGGCGTGGGGGTGGTGGGGGTGGTGGGGGTGGGGGGCGGTGTTGGCATCTAAGGATTGCCTCCTGCATATGAGTGATTAGAATTATACCACAATCCATATTATTTATAGGCAAATTCACTGATATCTTCAGCAAATCTTTACTGAAAATAACTATGATCAGAGATGTACCATAGTCACTGGCATGGGTTCTCGAGTCCAGCGAACCAGACTTGAATTCAGGCTGCCATTTAATAGCTATCTGACTCTGGGCAAGTTTCTTATCTTCTTTTTAAATTAACAAGTTTATTCAGATATAATTAACATGCCACAAAATGTACTCTTTAAGAGTATATACTCTCTTCGAATGATTATTTAGCATATTAAGAGAATTTTGTTCCAGCACTGCTATTACATTCCAGGACCTTATCATCACCCCAAAAGGAAACCTAGCACTTATTCTCTGTCACTCCCCATGTCCCCTCTCTCTATCCGCTGTCAACTCTTCTTTGACTGTACGCAGTTGTCTGTTCTGGACAGTTTATATAAATGGAATCATACAATATGTGATTTTATGGGCCTGGTTTCTTTCACTTAGCATAAAAAGTTTTAAGAGCCATCCATTAAAAAAAAAATCATTTTATTGGGGGCTCATACATGCATCCATTGTGTCAGGCACATTGTCCATTTGTTGCCATCATCATTTTCAAAACATTTTCTTTCACTTCAGCCCTTGGTATCAGCTCCTCATTTCTTTCCCCTCCCTCCCTCATGAACCCTTGTCAATTTATAGATTATTAGTTTTTCATGTCTTACAGACTGATGTCTCCCTTCATTCACTTTTCTATTGTCTGTCCCGAGGCAGGGGGTTATATGTAGATCATTGTGATCAATTCCTCCTTTCTCACCTCACCTTCCCCTTCCCCTCCTGGTATCACTACTTTTATTATTGGGCCTGAGGGGTTTATCTATCCTGGATTCTCTGTGTTTCCAGCTCTTATCTGTACCCGTGTACATCCTCTGGTCTAGCTAGATTTGTAAGGTAAAATTGGGATCATGATAGTGGGGTGGGGGGAGGAAGCATTAAAGAAGTAGAGGAAAGTTGTATGTTTCATCGGTGCTATACTGCACCCTGACTGGCTTGTCTCTTCCTTGTGACCCTTCTGTAAGTGGGTGTCCATTTATCTACAGATGGGCTTTGAGTCTCCACTCTGCAGTTCCCCTCATTCACATTGATATTTTTTTTTGGTTCTGGGACTTTCATGCCTGATACCTGATCCCATCGACACCTCACGATCACACAGGCTGGTGTGCTTCTTCCATGTGGACTTTGTTGCTTCTCAGCTAGATGGCCGCTTGTTTGTCTTCAAGTTTTTAAGACCTCAGGTGAAGAGCCATCCAATTTGTAGCATATATCGACACTTGATTTCCAATTATGGCCGAATCATATTCCATTTTATGTTTCTATTAATTCCTTAAATGACATTTTCCTTCTTAATCTGTAACGTGGCTATAAGAACTAAATGGGATGATATGTAGTGCTTACATAGCCTTGCTAAATGGAGGGGGTGGGCTTAATAGATGCTTGTAACTATGATTAATTATTATTATTACAATAAGACTGGGTGTTGGGCGATTTCACATTGAACAAGATTTGATGCAGTTCATGAGCTAGTGAGAACAGCAGAATAAGTCTCATAAAAAGAGTGCTCTTCTTCCCTTTGGCTGTAGTCGGGACCCTTCCTGACTTCAGTGAATGAGAAGAATATGGCATACCGTGTAAGCTTTTCCCTGGACTGAAGGAAACATTGCGTAACATTTGACAAGTGCATGGTGGATATAAGTTCAAGGTAATGAGCACTGTGAAAAGACTGAACTTCTATTGAGCTGAAAACATATTTTTGATAGATTCGATGTTTCTTCAGTTGTCTTACAACTGCTTATAAGGCACTCTTTAAAAAATCATAAGACTTGTAAGTATTGGATATGTAGAAGTGTAATTTCCCAGGACATCTGATTGGGTCCAATGTGAATGCTCACACACGTAGTAGCATGTTC